CCCAGTTCACTAAAAAGTGGAATTATTGCTCGAGCGGTCGTTTGTCAAAAAATGTACGCTCATTTACATATGCGGTTGTGGTTAAGGTCCGAGTTGCGAATTTTTTGAAATATGCAAATTTTCAGTTCATTGAAAAATTGAAAATATTGCTCGATCGGTCGTTTTTCAAAGGATCCATGTTCATTTGCATATACAGTTGCGGCTCAGGTCCCCTTTGCTAACGATTTTTGGGTAGAGAAGCTGCTTGAGGCTGTGGCTGGGGAGCTAGACAGCTGAGTTTAAAATTTTTATCTCGCACGTGCATAGAGAATAACCTTGTAAGTTTCAGCTTTCTACGTTGCCTGGTTCGCGAAATCGTTTCTCGCCAACGAATTTCTTTGGGGGTCCCCGTACGCAGGGTTTAGGGGCGTATAGGGAAAGATCTTAAAACGGGGGGATGACAGACGGGGTAGGAACATATCCAAAGTCAGCTTTCCTGGTTGCTGAGATGAAAGTGGGTGACAAAATGCATTCGCATTCCGAACACACACACGCACACACAGACTGCCTCCCGACAATATGCGTTTTTGCTCACTGTAGCAGCGCTGTAGCGCTGCTATACCGCTGCACCGCAAAAACGTATATAAGAGTCGGAAGATGTTCACCGCTGTGCACATAAAGTTTTTTTAAAAAGTTTGATCCACGGAATAAAATGTCTGCCTGGAAAATTCGCGTAATCTTTTATGGATTTAAAAGTCTTTCCTGCTTCTTTTTAGGCGCGTTGTAGTAATCTTGTAATATTGAATTATATTCAACTCCGCTAGTGTGACATTCATTCTGCCTACGAATCGTTCATTCGTTTTGATGGTAAATTGGTACTGGTACTTGCCGACGAGTCACAGTTGCCACCAGCTTGCTTCTAAGCAAACTCTCGCAAGAACAGTTCTGCCAACAACTGGATTTTTTCAGATTTTTACCGCTACGGCCGAATGGCGGTAAAAATTTGTTTCTCGGAATGAGTATATACAAAGGGGTTTTTCTAGCTTTACACTGGATAAGCATAATGGAAGTGTTTTGGGTAATTAGCTTACACTGCCCAGTTCATTGCCAACAAGCTACAAAATCTGTAAATGCGGTAAATTTTCGCAGTCTTCAGCTTAAGGTAACAAGCTTAACAGAATTTGATGTAGAATTCATGTTTTTGGATCTCTGAAATTCATCCACATGTCTGACTGTCCTGAGCTACCTGTCTTCAGTTTGTGCCGGCTTCTCATCTTCCAACCATAATTTATTCGAACAGCAGATTACCTCCTCGAAATTCCGCAGTGCCCGACTATTGCCACACGATGTCCTGGACAGATTCGGTGAACTGATTGACTGCTCAGAACCTTTATGATAGTGCTCTGGATCGGGCACCATGATTGTATCCGTAATCGAAGTGTAATCTTCATTTCGCCAAGTGTACGATCTAAGCAGTTCATACGCTTCAAAGTGAACTCACGCCTCGATTTTACTGCAGCGGACACGATACGTGAAAAAGTAAGCTTTTTAAACAGGAAAGGTGTCGAGAAGATATAACTTCTCGAAAAGGTATAAGGTCAATAGGAGCCGACGAACTGAACTCAGAGAATCGAAGGAGCCGAAGAACTGTGCTCGCCAGAACGAAATGAACAAGGATCCGACGAGCAGTGCTCGCCAAACTGTCAAAAAAGGGTCGACGTATTGCGCCCAACTGAGGAACTGGGCTATTGCTATCATAGGCCACTTTGCCGGCCTAGAACTTAATTATTTAGTATAAACTGTTTGAAGTGGACAACCAGAGGAGCTATCCCTTATAGGATAATAGAAAGACCGCAAGATGGAAATGCAAGGGCCACTCGTACAATATGGGTTACTTGGGGGCAGGTAAGTTTAGAATCAAGAAAAATAGCAACACTACTTGT